CCTGGGGACACAAGGCTGGCCTGTGTCCTTGAATGCCGAGAAAGACCTCCTCAAGGGGATGAAATGTGCTCTCCGCAAAGCTCTGGAGCAAGCCGCACCCGCAGGGCCCGGGGCTCGTGTGCTCCCTGGGAAGGTGGTTGGATCACGTTGTTGGGCCTTTGCTTAGGGGACCCTCTGCTTCCCCAGCAGGAGCGGCTGGTTCCCCGAGGCCTATGTGAAGCCACTGGAGGAGGTGCCCGTGAACCCCATGAACGCCTTGAACCCCGTGACCTCCATGAACCCCATGAATGCCTTGAACCCCATGACCTCCATGAACCCCATGAACCCCTTGAACCCAGTGACCTCCATGAACCCCATGAGCCCTATGAATGAGCTACCTTCCAGGTACCTGGGTGGTCAGAGTTGGGGTAGGGGTGGGGACTCCAGTGGGGGGTGACCCCACCCATCGGGGGGGTATCTGTGAGTTGCAGTCCTGAGTGGGCCCAGCCCCCTATAGCCTCTGGAGAAAGGGCCCCCCATCTCTCTAACTGTGAAGGTCATTGTGTCCATCCCTCTGCCTCCTCTCAGGGCTGCCTGCAAGCCAACAGTCTCCTCTCCCCCAGGCGCCAGGGAGGAGGCTGTAGGAAGCTCAGGGGCCCAGCAGATGGGGCCTGACCCCTGACCCCCTCCCTTTCCCTCCTTTCTGGGCTCAGGTCCTACCCGCTCCGGGGCAGCCACAGCCTAGACGACCTCCTGGACCGGCCGGGCAACGCCACAGCGCCCTCAGAGTACTGGGACGGCCAGCCCCGCTCGCGAACTCCGAGCCGGGTCCCGAGCCGCGCCCCCAGCCCCGCACCTACACCGTTGCCTGGCAGCCGCCGAGGCAGCATGGGCAGCACGGGGGTGGCCAGTGACATCAAGGTGAGCCCTCTCCCCCAGGCTGTCCGCAACCTGGGTCACCAGTGGGCAGGGAGACTGCAGACCCCGGAACCCTCTCTGCTTTGCCACTGTGTCTGGCAGGGGCCCCTCCACCTGGCCCCAGTCTGCCCGTCTGTGCAGGGAGGGGTGGGATGAGCTGCTGACTCCGGGGTGGGGCTGGGGAGATGTATTCATGTCAGGGACTAGAGCCCCAGGTGCCCTGCCGGGAGCACTGGGAAAGGCCTGTCCTCCCTGCCTCCCAGGGAGGTCAAACCAGGTCCTGGGTCAGAGCCGGGGCAGGGTAGCGACACAGGGAACGCCTCCCCATGAGGCCACCGCTGTCTTGTCCTGGGCGGTGGTTGGCCCTGGAGATGGTCCTCTGGCCCACAGGCTTCTCAAGTCTGAAACCCACAGAATCCTGGGCCTCAGGACGCCAGGGCTGCACGCCCAGAGCCTGGCACTGCGGGGCCTCTGCCTCCTAGAGGGGGAGAGGGAGGGGCAGGAGCTGGCTTGCCCCTTCCCCTCCAGACTCGGCCCTTCCTCCATCCCCTGCAGAAACTCATGTCCTGGGAGCAGCAGCCACCAGAGCTCTTCCCTCGGTGAGTCTGGGGCAGGACTGG